AAAATTAGAAATGAAAGTTAAGACATTACTACCAATTCTATAAAAATAAAAGGATCATAAGAGTACCATGAACAATTGCATGCCGACAAACTGAATAGCCTAGATGAAACAGACAAACTCCTAGAAACACAACCTACCAGGATGGAATAATAAAGAAACAGAAAATAATTCATCTTATGAAGTCAGCATGCTCTGGTAAGACACATGCCAGAAAAGACACAAGACAACTACAGACCAACATCCATTATGAATGAATATTGATTCAATCATCTTCAGTGAAATACTAGCAAAGCAAATTCAGCAGCGTATTTAAAGGATTATTCACCATGACAACATGAAGTTTATTCTTGGAATGCAAGGTGATTCAACATATGAAAGTTGGTGCAATGCACCACCCATTAATAGAATGGAAGGGGGAACGACATGATCAACTCATGCAGAAAAAGCATTTTGACAACATGCAACATCCTTTTATAACAAAAACACTCAACAAAGTAGAAAAAGAAGGAAAGTACCTCAACATAATGAACTCCATATATGAAAATCCCACAGCCAATCTCATAGTAGCGAATGGCTGAAACTTTTTCCAGTAATATAAAAAACCAACAAGGATTTTTTTTTTACCACCTTCATTCAACGCAGTATTGGAAGTTCTAGCCACAGCAATTAGGCAAGAACCAGAAGTAAAAGACATCCAATTTTGGAAAAAGTCAAATCTGTTTGTAAAGGACATGACTGTATCTAGAAAATCCTAGATCCCACACACCCCCCAAAAACTGTTACAATAAACAAATTCAGCAAAGGATACAAAACCAATGCACAAAAATCAACTATGTGTGTTTTTTAAGAAATGGGGTCTTATTATGTTGCCCAGGTTGGAGTGCAGTGGCTATTCACAGGAGCAGGCATAGCATGCTCAAACTCCTGGGCTCCTGCCTCAGCCTCCTGAGTAGCTGGGACTATAGGCATGTGACACTGTGCCTGGCACTTGTGTTTTTATATGCCAACAATGAACAATCCAAAAAGGAAAGTGAGAAAGTTCTACTTACAAAAAGAGTAAAATACTTAAGAATTAAACTTAACCGAGGAGGTGAAAGACTGGCACAGTGAAAACTACAAAACATGCTGAAAAAAATTAAGACAAATAAATGGAAAGAGGACCGGGCGCGGTGGCTCATGCCTATCATCCCAGCACTTTGGGAGGCCAAGGAGGGCAAATCATGAGGTCAAGATCGAGACCATCCTGGCCAACATGGTGAAACCCCATCTCTACTAAAAATACAAAGACTAGCTGGGTGTGGTGGTGCATACCTGTAGTCCCAGCTACTTGGGAGGCTGAAGCAGGAGAACCGCTTGAACCTGGGAGGCAAAGGTTGCAGTGAGCCTAGATTCCACCACTGCACTCCAGCCTGGTGACAGAGTGAGACTCCCTCTCAAAAAAAAAAAAAGGTAAAGATATTCTGGTTAATAGATTGGAAGATTTACTGTTAAGACAATACTAATCAAAGGGATTTACAGATTCAATACAATCCCTATCAAAATCCTAGAGATTCTTGCAAACATCAAAAATTTCATCCTAAAATTCACATGAAATCTCAAGTGACCCTGAATAGACAAAACAATATTGAAAAAGAAGAAATAAGAGTTGGCAGTCTTATACTTCCTAATTTTATACTTGCTACAAAGCTACAGTTAACTAAAAGAGTGTGATACTGGCATAAAGACCGACATCAACCAATGGAAAAGAATAGAAAGCCCATAAATAAACATTTGCGTATACAGCAAATGATTTTCAACAGGGTACCAAGATCACTCAAAGGGAAATGCAGAGTCTTTTCAACAAATGGTGCTGGGGAAATGGGATATCCACATGCAAAAGAATGAAGTTGGACCCTTATCTATCAATCCCAGCACTTCGGTAGGCTGAGGCGGGCAGACAGCCTGAGATCAGGAGTTGAGACCAACCTGGCCAACATGGTGAAACCCTGTCTCTACTAAAAATACAAAAATTAGCCAGGCGTGATGGCAGGCACCTGTAATCCCAGCTACTCAGGAGGCTGATGCAGAAGAATCACTTGAACCTGGGAGGCAGAAGTTACAGTGAGCCAAGATCATGCCATTGCATGAGCAACAGGCAAGAGCAAGACTTCGTCTCAAAAACAAACAAACTAGATCAAATTACGCCCTGCCCCCTAGTAAGACCTAAAACTATAAAACTCTTAGAAGAAATTATAGGACAAAAACTTCACAACATTGGATTTGTCAATGATTTCTTGGATATGACATCAAAAGCACAGGTAAGAAAGAAAAATAAATTAGAAATTATCAAAATTAAATACTTTTGTACATCAAAGGACACCATTAACAGAGAAAAGGCAACCAATGGATCAGAGGAAAATATCTGCACATCATATCTGATAAAGGATTAATATCCATAAGGCACCCCTAAAACTCAACAAAAAGAACCTAATTTTAAAATGGGCAAAAGGATCTGAATAAACATTTCTCCAAATATTTACAAATGGCCAAAAACACAAAAATAGATGCTCAACACCACTAACCATTAGGGAAATATAAATCAAAACCACATTGAAATGGCACTTCACAGCCATTAGGATGGTGGTTAAAACAACAAAAGAAAACAACAAAATAACAAGAATTGGTGAGGATGTGGAGAAACTGGATATTGCTGATAGGGCTGCAAAATGTGGCAGCCAGCTATTGTGAGAAAGTGCGTGGCAGTTCCTTAAAACTTAAACCAGAATTTTCATATGATATAGCAATTCCACTTCTGGGTATATTTTTTAAAAAGCAGGGACTAGGCATGGTGGGTCAAGCCTGTAATCCCAGGAGGTCGAGGTGGGTGGATTACCTGAGGTCAGGAGTTTGAGACCAGCCTGGCCAACGTGGTAAAACCCTGTCTCTATTAAAAATACTAAAATTAGCCAGGAGTGGTAGCATGCGCCTGTAGTCTCAGCTGCTCAGGGGGCTGAAGCAGGGGAATCACTTGAACCCGGGAGGTTGACGTGAGCCAAGACTGTGCCACTGCACTCCAGCCTGGGCAATAAGAGTGAAACTCCTTCTCAAGAAAAACAAAAAACAGGGACTTGAAAAGTATTTGTACACACCAATAGATAAATGGATAAACAAAATAGGAATGTATATTATTTTGGGGGAAAGTAGAGGGTATTATCCAGCCTTAAAACGAAACTCTTTTTTGAGTCAGATTCTCACTGTGTTGCCCACACTGGAGTGCAGCGGCATGATCTCAGCTCACTGCAGCCTCCGCCTCCTGGGTTCCAGCGATTCTCCTGCCTCAGCCTCCAAGGTAGCTGGGATTACAGGCACACACCACCAGGCCTGGCCCTTAATAAGAAATTGATACAATGCCATAACATTATTACACGGAGACCTCTCAACAGAGAAAAGGGGAAGCAAGGATAACTGCAGCCAGTCTGTGTGTCTCCCCTGTCCTCACCACTGCAGGTGTGAGCCACCACACCCGGCCCTTAATAAGAGATTGATACAATGCCGCAAGATGAACCTTGAACTCATAATGCTAAGTGAAAAAGACACAAATAAAAAGCACAAGTGTTGTATAATTTCAGTCATATGAATTACTTAGCAGTCAAATCTATAGGGACAGAAAGTAGAAAGGTGATTGCCAGGGAATTGGGGGAGAGGAAGAATGGAGAGTTATTGTTTAATAAGTATAGTTTTTCATTTGGGGAATACAGAAAAGTTCTGGAGGTAGATGGTAATGATGATGGTATGATATGAATGTATTTTAATGCAACTGAACGCTACACTTAAAAATAGCTAAAATGGGGCCGGCTGCAGTGGCTCATGCCTGTAATCCCAGCATTTTGGGAGGCTGAGGCGGGCTGATCACCTGTGGTCAGGAGTTTGAGACCAGCCTGGCCAACATGGTGAAACCATGTCTCTTCTAAAAACACAAAAATTAAACAGGTGATGCGGCGGGCACCTGTAATCCCAACTACTCGGGAGGCTGAGGCAAGGGAATCGCTTGAACCTGGGAGGCAGTTGTTGCAGTGAGCTGAGATCGCTGTCCAGCGTGGGTGACAGAGACTTCATCTGAAAAAAAAAAAAAAAACAGTTAAAATGATAAATATAGATATATTTATATGTTACCACAATAAAAAATAAAACATAATATGAACTCAGCAAGAAAATGAACAAATAGAGCAACACAGATTGAACTAGAAAGAAAGTATTGGCTCAGATAAGCAAACTATGGTATGATTGCATTTTTCCAAAAACAGGTAAAAGCAATCACGCTGTTTAGAAATATATACAGTGGATAGCCTAAAACAACAAAGCCACAAGGGGACAGTCACTCCAGGAAGGCACGGACAGGGATATAATTGTATAGGGCACAATAGTGGCTTTTAAGGTACTGGTAAACAGGTTTCTTTGCTTAAGCAGTGGGAACAAGGGTATTCATAATTATTCCTGGAGTTGCACATACGTTTTATATAAATCTCCACACATAATATTTCACAGTTTTAAATGTACTCCGTGCCCCAAAAGAATAGTGAGCCTTCTCCATGTTTTGCTTCTCAGATGGTTTATGCTTTGGAGTAAGACTGGAAAATCTGACAACACGGTGATTACTTTTCAGTCTCATTGAGTTTTCTTCTTCTTTTTCTCAAAGCGGCACTTGTTCCACTTTCTCTGTCAGAAATAAAATGGTTCCAGATACTTATTTCACCCAGATGCTTTAAAGACGTGGACCTAAACAGGCTTCCATCATGACTTCTGGCAGTGACTCTGCTCATGAAACGATACTCACTAGGTAAGAGTTCAATGTTCTTATGAACTGATCAGAAAATACTGATAATCTCGTAGATTTTAAAATGTGTTAATACCATTTTGATAGAGATATTTTTCTTATCAATAATTAGAAATATCTAACTAGGAAAATTTGAGCTCATTTAGAGAGCTATGTTGAATCTGAAAATAAAACACAGACACAGATAAAGTATTCAATCGAAATATATTTGTCTAATATCTACAAAGTGTGAACAACTGGTCTTAAGAAAGCAGACAAAAGGCACAAAATTAGTATTACTACAGAGAAGCTTTCATGCTATTTGGATTTTATAAATATCGTTGGAGTGGCACAGTAAAAAATAAATTAGGCATTCAGCAAAACCAGATATTTCATTTTTCCCTTGCTTTGCATTTTGGTCACTTCTTTGCCCTCGTTTGTAAAGGCTAAAGGATAACTTTTAACTGAAACCATGGAACATGTGCAGGCGTTATGTATGTTTTAATCACAGTGCTTTCTTGCAGAGTTTGGGTCAACCAGAGAGGTGCACTTGAGGAAAAAAAAAAATCCACAGGAAATTCTCTTCTCTTTCCCCAAACTAAATACAAGATTGAGGCTGTGGTTGTGCATATTTGCATGTGCATGCGTGTATTTAACTTCTAAAGCCCTTTTTCATCATAAAAGAAGTCTCTATATGATTGGTTTTCTGATGTAAAAGAAGCGACTTCTTAACAATGTATGACTAGCGCTGTGACCGTTAGAGATGGTGGAAAAGTACTTGGTGGGCCTTGGCTCTGAGTTCTCCCGGGGTGCTCCATCCTGCAAGGCTCTGGCATAAATCCTTACCAGCTTCCTTCCAACCCCCACCCAGCAGGAAACAGTTGCTTATCTTTCTTGCGTGCGTAGAGACAGAACACTGAGGTGGGGAGGGAGGTGAGAATGACAATAATTTTGAAATGATAGCCACCCATACGTCTACCGGGAATGAGCCACTTTCTCCCATATGGATGGTGATTGGGCCACGCCAGGTCACCTTCATTCTGACAGGAGTTGACTAAGTGAGAATATCTTTGTGAGTGTAAAACATTTTTGGCAAAGTGAAAAATAGAAAACTTCAAACTTCATTGATAAAAAGGAGCTCATGATTAACCACTTCAACCTTGGCGAGTGCAGTATTTACATGTATAATCATACTCAGATGTGTACATAGTGCATGCGTGTGAACATATACCGTGTGTACACACACACGCCCCAAATGGCTCTTGAATAAGTTCATTCCTCTAGCAGAGTGTGGGGGTGCACTTTTCCTAGTATTTAATTTCTGTTATGTCTTGAATGCTAATACAAGGTCTCAGTGAATGCCAACAAAACCCTGATACTCTACTACTTTACTATTCCTACAAAAGCAGGGCTATACTGGGCAGCTCTGCACCTCCACCTCATCAGTGTGCCTTCCAGAGGGGATTGACGTATACCCAGCCATCGCCCTGCAAGAGAAGAAAGGAGGCATTATTACATGGAGACCTCTCAACAGGGAAAAGGGGAAGCAAGGTTAACCGCAGCCATTTTACACGTCCACCCTGTCCCAATCCCTCACACACAGGCCAGGCTGCTGGGCTCACTGCCCCTCCTCAGCCAAGCTGCTCTTTGGAGACCTAGATGATCTTGACCTTCCTACCCTGGCATGGCAGGAGGAAACCCCATGAAATGAGCAAAATAAAAGGGGGTCTTGGTTGGTTTACATTAAGGCTGCTTGCTTGCCAAAATAAAAAAAGCACTTTGACAGCGGGACACGAGAAAAGGAGAGTAGCCAGATGAATGGCCAGGAAAAAGACAAGGCCAGGGTGAGTCCCGACCCCCAGCCCAGAGGGGAACACCCAGCAAAGGCTCTCTCCAGCAGGCGTAGTCCCAAACAAACCAGAACACACAAGAAACACCATCAATCAAATATCAAGTGAGAGAAAGGCCAGAATTGAAACGGTACTAATACATACCATCTGGTTATGACTAGAAGGTGCTATACTGAAAGGTAACTGTGCTGGTATTCAGATGACTCTTACTCCTTACATGCCCCCAGCCCTTCTGTTATGGACGTACTGGCTTTTCTTAAACTCAGGAAGAAGAACTATGAATGTTTTTTGTTGTTTTCTAATGCACGACCTTCCACAGAAGCCAGACTCGAGAAAACGGATCCACCTCACAGAAGGATCTTTCGAGGTTCTACCTCACCTGGGCAGGGCTCCCACACAGGGTCCCCACTGAGTGACCCATAAAGGTGGAGTCTTCCAGGCAGCCTTCCTGTCTGAACCAGCATCTTCCCTTGAAATCGCCTTTAGTCCACAGCCCATGGTTCCTGACTCGACAGAGCAGTGGCGGCTTCCTGTTCTTAACCATGAATCTACCCCAGTTCCCTACTATGTTGCCCTAACTCACTTCTCAGCCTTGTGCTTAGAAAGAATAATCCCTCCTTGTAGCAGAAGTCAGAGGGTAGCAACACCCGGGCTAAGGAAAGCCCACAGATACATTTTGATTGGCTCCTGGCATTTAAATTTTTTAAATTCTTAGATACCATGCAAATACGAGATTTCTCATAAAAATTCAGATTTCTGGCTCCTCATCAACAACTAGACAATCTGTTATCAGCAGGAGGTGAGCTGCATCGGCCCCAGCCCTCCCTGGCCGGCTGCTCACTGATGTTGCTGGCTTCCTGTGGGCCTCCCTGAAGAAGTGTGGCTCCTACATTTTCACAATTTCCAGTTCTGTTCTCAGAATGCCTCCCAATCCCTCCTCAAACAACTTCAAGCACATAAGGCCTTCCGCTGGGCACACAGTGCCCTGGCCACTTGCCCAGATCACATTTGCAGGTGACCTGTCATCAGTGTCACATTTGCAGGTGACAGCAGCAGCACCACAGGCACAGGACTGGGGCTGGCCTTCCCCAGCATGACCAGCCCTTGCGGCCCACAGAAGGCACAGCTCTGAAAGGCAGTTCGTCAGCAAGGGCTCCAGCCCAGCCATGTGTGGAGATGAGCTGTGAGGACCCCACAACAGTTTGCTACCAAAGATGAAGTAACAGCGGCCATGATGTTTTTGGGGTTTTTTTGTTTGTTTGTTTAAGACTGAGTTTCACTTTTGTTGCCCAGGCTGGAGTACAGTGACACAATTTCAGCTTACTGTAACCTCCACCTACCGGGTTCAAGCGATTCTCCTGTATCAGCCTCCTGAGTAGCTGGGATTACAGGCATGTACCACCACGCCCGGCTAATTTCTGTATTTTCAGTAGAGATGAGGTTTCTCCATATTGGTTAGGCTGGCCTCAGGTGATCTACCTGCCTCAACCTCCCAAAGTGCTGGGATTACAGGCGTGAGCCATCGTGCCCGGCCAATAGTTTTCTTTTTAAAAACAGAACAGTGTCCTGTCTGCAATCCCATCCCGTTCCCTCACTGGCAGGTTGACGTGCTTTTCTGACAGAGGGATACCGTAGGGGAAGTGTCAGTAACTGGGTTCTGCCCTCTGGAAGGATTCATGAATGTTGTGGCAGAAAACCTGTCCTGAAGCCTGGCCAAAACTGCAGCCAGAACCGACCTGCCTCAGTGCAGCTCTGCCCCTGCCTGGAATTTATCCAGTCTGAGGTTCAACAAGAAACTCCTTCAGTCCAACCCTGCCCCTGCCTGGTATTTATCCAGTCTGGGGGTCAGCAAGAAAAACCCATCTACCCTCTCAGAACAAGTTATCTCCTGGGCAAAAGCCCAGTGACTGACAGGTGGCAGAGTTACCTCCTGGATAAAATATTTGGGCTTCCACGGTGTCCGGAGGTTCTCGCGCTTCCGTTCCTCTACCCGCTGCTTCTCCTCCAGGTGCCGCTTCTGCTCGGTGGCTGCATCAATGTCCCCCAGCCGCAGGTATCGGGTCACCTCCCGCCAGAGGTTCCTGAGGATACGTGGAGCAGAGGAAGAATCAACCAGGCCAGCTGGCTGCAAGCTAACAGAATTCTGCCAGGAGCAGCCAGAGCAGCAAGGGACATCCAGGTCAGCCATCGCTGTGGCAGCTCGTCCCAGATACCTCAAAGACCCCGAGAGCTTGGATTTGAACCCACGGCTACCCACCCCTGCCTCTATGCTGTTTCTACTCTCCACTTGTACCAGCCAGCATGCCTTTCTCAGGGCCTGGAGTTTCTGGGAATCAAATCTAATAGTAGTAGTAGCAAACATTCCACTACCACTGCCAACCCTGATAGAAGGCACATATGGCATTTACTGTATTTCTAAGCACGTTATGTATATAAACCTATTTCATCCTCACAGCAACCTGATGATGTATTATAGATGGTAGTTTCTTATCTCCATGTTACAGAGGAGAAAATGTAAGGTCCACATAAGGTTAGGTGACTCGCCCAAGGTCACCACACTGGTAAATCTGAAGAAGACCTGCTTTTCCAAAGGGAACCTGGAATTAGGAGTTAGAGGCTGATGCATGTGTGGTGTGTGGGTATTTGTGTGTGCATGCTTGTAGTGAGGGATCTCTCATCTTCCCCAGGTCTACACAAAGCCACCTTTCTGCTTCATGCATTCACTGTAGAAGGCAGCTTAAGGGAGTGAGGCTAGGCTGCTGGGCTCACCACCCCTACTCAGCCCAGCTGCTCTTTGGAGAATCAGATCACCTTGACCTTCCCACCCTAGCCTGACAGGAGGAAACCCCACGAAATGAGCAAAATAAAAAGGGAACGTGGTTGGTTTACATCGACGAAGGCTGATTACTTGGCAAAAAATAAGCACTTTGGCAGTGGGACAAGAGAAAAGGGAAGCAGCTAGTGTTTAACACCAGCTTGTACGCAGCTTGCGTTTAACACAGAGCTTTCCTCCTCAGGGCCTCCCTGGGACCAGCCTGTATTCAGACACACTCTGGTCTAGAGAGAAAGGAAAGGAACCGTGATAAATCAGGACGCCACCACCTGACCACTTCCTCACTTAGATGCATCAGAAGTTGGGACTTCACAGACAAGAAACTCAGAATTCCAGATAGTGAAGATGCCCTCCCTGGCTTCTAGAAAATGAGGCCTCTTCACCGGGCGCAAGTGAATGCCCATGATTAGGTCCAGGCCAGGGAGCACCTCTGCAGCAGATGTCCTTAGCCCTTTCCCCAGCAGGGGCCCAGAGCAGCAGGAAGGCTTGACTGCTGGCATGGCCAGGCTGAGGACGGGCAGATGGGGCTGGCAGTGAATTAGGGACAGCCAGCAGCAACTCCTAGGGGTACAGATGCCAACAGAAGAGAGCCCAGCTGCACACTCCCCCGAATACCAGACCCGGCCTAAATCACACCATACAAAGACCCAAGGAGAGTGACACCATGGCCCCATTTTACAGCAAGTCAACTGCTGGTACTGAGAGAAGCCGGCCTGCTCTTTCCACTGGACCCTGATAATTGATCTAAGAGGAAAGACTCACCCAAACAGTACAGCTAGGCGAGGGGTGGGTGCTGAGTGAAACCACAGTCCGCATCACACACCCTCAACACACACCTCACGCTGAGGGTGGGGCTGGGCACCAGGACAGCCGGGGTCAGGGGGGTTCTCTCACAGTCCATGGTATGTTCCATCATAAGATGGTGGCCCCAAGTTTAGAGGGCAGAGACCCCAAAACCAGAGACATGGTGATGGGACCAGAACTACAAACGAAGATCTCTGCCCTACATGAATAGGGACCCGACCAGGAGAGTTACCCGGGAGGGGACAGGAGAAGGGAGTGGAGAAGGCTCTGAGCACCAAGCTAAAAGAAAAAGGAGTCTCCAGGGCAGGGAGGGTTGGGAGCCATTCAGTGAGAAAAGCCAAAGGAAGCCGAGGGGTGCCTGCTCTGAGGAGGGGAAGGCAACATAGCTGAGGGCGGGCAAGTGGCTGAGGCAGAGCCGGACTGGCATCTCTGGATGCCGGCTCTGCTTGAAGCCACTGGGCCCGAGGGCTCTGGCCAAGGCAGGGCTCCTGCTCAGACCAAGTTCTGGGCCTCGCGAGCAGACTTACAGGTATGGGAAAACCAAAGACCACAGAGTTACCTTCATTCTACCCCTAATGGGACTGAGTTCCCTTCCAGGAATTTTAGCTGGGGACTTCAGGCTCACCATGGGCTGGCAGCACTGTGAGAGCTAAGACACTGTGCTAACTACTGGGCCACCTAGCGCACATGGTCCTTTCCTTTGCCTCTGCAGGGAAGGCCTGGCAGGCCTGGCTGGGAGGATGAACACAACTGCTCTGAGCAGCCAAGGAGTCTTGGACCAGCCACTCTGCTCCTCAAGGCTGTTTCCTCTGCAGAGAACAAGGATGAGTGGGCTCAGTTTCTCTATACAGCAGTCCCCCTTTACCCATGGATGCATTCGGAGACCCCCAGTGGATGCCTAAAGCCACATATAGTACCAAACCTACATATACTATGTTTCCTCCTATACCTACCTAGGATGTCATTTAATTTATAAATTAGGCATAGTAACAGATTAATAAAGTAGAACAATTGTACCAATATACCATAATAAGAGTTATGTGAATGTGATCTCTCTCTGAAAATACTGTCGTCTTTTCAGATGGTGGCTGACTACAGGTAACTGAAACCAAAGAAAGCAAAATCACAGATAAAGGGGCTGCTGGAGCTTGTTCTGCATTTCAGTACAACCTATAGAAGTAGTCAAAAAGAGGTAGCATCTTCTCTTACTCTGGCAACAGACTCCACCCCTGCTCTAAGCTGAGTTCTGAGTTCCCACAGGCTAACAAGCCACAAAGGGTCTTAATAGGGAGTAGCTCAACTACCCTGCTATCCGTCAAAGAAAAGAAGCAGGTGATCATGGTTTTGTTCTCAGTAGCCAGATCAAAAACAACCATGTCACAATGTGAACCACAGCGCTCCTCATTCTGCAAATGCTTCATCGGAGGCAGTGTGGGCAAGCGGATGGGCTTCCTTCCTCACTGCAGCCTTTTCCTTGTCCTGCTACTGCGGCCCAACAGGATGGGCTGAAAAAGACACTAACTGGTAAGAGCCCACGCCTCCAGTTAGACACAGAGAAGGTTCTGCTCACTGTCCTCAAATAGACTGATTAACAAGCAGAGGTTCTAGGGATACTGAAGCTGTTTTTATTAAGCCCAGTTATTCATATAATTATTTATACACACTGTGGTATCCCTGCTTTGTTTTCATGTGTAAGAACTGTTTCTATTTGGTTACAAACTCTTGTAGTAATAGTGACCCTTTCACAAATCATTTGTAATTTCATTTTACCCCTACATCATATTTCTAAAGAGTGTACGCTTTTAGATTCGAGCAAGGGTTGGCAAACATTTTCTGTAAAGAGCCAAAGAGTAAACATTTTTGGCTTTGCAGGCCATATGGTCTTGGTTGCAACTACTTAACTCAGCCATTGTACCAGGAAGGCGGCTGTAAGCCACATGTAAACGAATGATCATGGCTGTGTTCCAATAAATCTTTATTTACAAAATCTGCCTGAGGTTGGATTTGGCCCACAGGCCATAGTTTGCTGATGTCCTATGTTTGAAAAAAAAAAAATGGCAGCTAGTCATGGTGGCTCACGCCTCTAATCCCAACACTTTGGGAGGCGGAGGTAGGTGGACCATGAGGGAGGAGTTCAAGACTAGCCTGCCCAAGATGGTGAAACCTCATCTCTACTAAAAATACAAAAATTAGCTGGGCTTGGTGGTGGGCATCTGTAATCCCACCTCAGGAGGCTGAGGCAGAGAACTGCTTGAACCTGGGAGGCGGAGGTTGCAGTGAGCCAAGATCGTGCCACTGCACTCCAAACTGGGTGACAGAGCAAGACACTGTCTTTAAAAACAAAAAACAAAAAAAAAAAACTGGCATATTCCAAGGAGATTCTGCCTCTGTGCCTGCATAAACATCACATTAAGTGACTGCATTATATTCACACCATAGCCACCGATAGGCAAATTGAATGGATGCTTCATAATTTGCTTAACCATTTTCCAAATATTAGACAGGTGATTTAATCTTTCTTTTGTTGCTTAGTTTTCTTTTTCTGAATTTAAGAATTTGCCCTGAGAACAGATTCTTAGAAGTAGAATGTGAGATTGAAGTGGATTCATGAATTGAAAGCTACTGATCTGGCCGGGTGCGGTGGCTCAAGCCTGTAATCCCAGCACTTTGGGAGGCCAAGGTGGGTGGATCACGAGGTCAAGAGATCAAGCCATCCTGGTCAACATGGTGAAACACCGTATCTACTAAAAATACAAAAAATTAGCTGGGCACGGTGGTGCGTGCCTGTAATCCCAGCTACTCGGAAGGCTGAGGCATGAGAATTGCCTGAACCCAGGAGGTGGAGGTTGCAGTGAGCTGAGATCATGCCATTGAATTCCAGCCTGGGTAACAAGAGCGAAACTCGGTCTCAAAAAATAAAAAAAAAAGAAAGCTACTGATCTATGCACCTGAACTGCACACTTGTACTAGAAGGACAGGGTATAGAGTGTCAATTTTACTACACCTTTCCCAGCACTGACTTTTTAAAAATAACACTGCTAATCTGGCAAGAAAAAATTAGTATCTCATTGATTCACTGTGCAGTTCTTTGATTACTACAAACTCTCTGTATTTACCGTTACAATTAAGCAACAGATCAGTTGAGTTGACAAACGTTTGCAAAACAAGCAGTGAAAGTCTGCTGACGTCTGTCCTCACACCCCACCCCGTGACTGCAGAGTGACTTAACCAAAAGCTGAAAGGTTCTGTTCCTTAAGTGACACACAAGAAGCCAGGAGAATGTGATTCCTGGCTCTTTCCAGTCCTAAGCTTGCAAAATCTTTTTTCTTCTCTGTCCCTTGGATAAGTGCCCAGCATGACTAAGCTGGAGAGGAGGACACAGCCCGGTTCTCACCTGGACTCCATGGGCCCCTGCTTCTCGAGAGGTCTGATCTTCTTGGGATACACTGGCAGTGTCGTTGTGTCGATGACTTTGGTTTCTCCATTGCTGTAGGTGAACTCTAAAGTACCGTTCCATTCCCCATGGGCCTTACAAACAATGGTGTTTGTTGGATTGTGCTTCACTTCCGCGGTAACCCTGAATTAATGAGTCAAATGAACACACTTTGCAAGATGATAAAAACAGAGACTTCGACAGGTGTAGCCATCTCTAGAGATTTTTTAAAAAATCAGGAATGGGAAGGATTGTTTTTGCAGCCTGGCTCAAAGACTGACTCTGAAAAGATGATCTAATATCCTTGAACAGCAAAAGAAAGCATCATTGGAAAAACCAGTGACTGTGAATACAGTATATAGATTAGTCAATAGAGCAATGCTAATTTCTTAATTGTGATAAACACACAATAGTTATATTGCATAAGATATCACTGGGATGAAAATCAGGCAATTAAAGAAAAACCAAGTAAGTGGGCAGGGGATGGGGATAAAAGACTATAAATATGGTCCAGTATCTACAGCTCGGATTACAGGTGCACCAAAATCTCATAAATCACCGCTCAAGAACCTACTCATGTAACCAGACACCACCTTATACCACAATAACTCATGCAAAAATAGTTTTAAAAAAGAAAAACAAACTAGAATATACTATCTCTTCTCCAAAATAGCATCTGATAATACTACATTTTAACCCTAAAAAGACTGTAAGAGTGTAGCGTGAGCTTTAAAATCCTTAAATCAGGTCCATTTTGTATGGGGTCAAACATGGCTGCCCATTATCCCAGCAGAGCTTATGCTGGCAAAGGAGGGAAACGTCCACTCCGGCATCCGCACAGCCCGATTGAAGGCTGAGCAAACCAAGAGTCTCTGTCCCAATCAGTACCTTCCTACTCACAGCAGTGGCTCTGAGGAATGACCTCAGCCTCTCTCTTAAAGGGCCTTTGTGGAGATTTGTGACCCTTTTCACCTGCCTTGCCTGTGGGAATTCCAAGTGAAAGCAGACTCCCAGCTCCCTCTCCCTCATTGAGCTTTTTGTGCAGCTGAAGGAACACAGCAGAAATGGAGACACCTGCCCCAAAGCAGCCACGTGTAGGATCTAAGCTCCCGATTTCCTTAAGGCCCAGCTCAGGCTGAATTTAGAGTTTTCAAACACACTGGGAGGTTTTCTCCTTGAGCCTAAAAACAGTCACATTTCTTAGGTAGCAAGGCAGAGGCTCACAGGCAGGTGTGAACATCTTCTGGGCTGCACAATGGAAAGGTATCAATGGCGTGCTGGTCAATGTTTAACATGGATCTCGAGAAGGGAGAACACCTGAAGTGTAGCACTTGCCAGTTTCTGTGGTGGCCATCATGGCTGATTCCAGCTACCCACATGACAGCACTGAACGTGAAGTACACAAAAATCAGCTCTTACGAGCCGGCGTGTGCTGGCTCCAGGTGCCCCCAAGGCTCTGAGACCCTCACAGTAATGCCATGCAGAATAATGCTTTCCAAGAAGAAGGGCAAAGACGGAAGCTTGTTCATACAGTGTATCTTGCTTACGCAGTAGTCTGTGCTGAAAGAGGACTTTTTTTATAGCTGGAGCAATAAAAACCATTTTGTGCTTCTTCAAAGGGCAGACCTCTCCTTTGATTTCTTTGACTTGGGATTTCCCAGTTTCTCAAAAGAAAGAAATGATCCTGACCTCATGGATGCATGACACAGAGGTGAGGATAGTGTCGCCGACTAATGTGAAATGGGGGCTGTCTGGCTATGTCGGGTTCATAGATTGAATCACTTCAGAGCAAAGCAACAAACTATGGCTTCAGAAGGGAGAGTTTATCCCAACCAACAGAAGTGCTTTTATTCTCTGGTGTGTGTTCTGCAAATGCATCACCAAAAATTTCACCTGAAGTTTAGAGTGGAGAGGACCCCAAAAAACTGCATGTGAGGTAGGGAAGAGGCATGTCCTGGAAAAGACCTTAACAGCTTTATCTTGATTTTCAACTCATCCCATCACTGAAACTCAGTCTTCTAATGGTGAAAGGAAACTGAGGGCTTCATGTTAAGACAAAGCCAGAGCCGCTCCAGTCAGTACCCACCTGTGGACTTTCCCTCCATAGAAAGGCTTTGTGTGGAATGTCACCGTCGCTGAGTACCCAGTCTTGGCACAGTTGATGCTGACTTTTCCTCCGAGCTCCACCCACGGGATGGTGAGAATGGACCGGGCGTAGGCACTAGGCAGGGTGAACACGTACTCCTCCCCGTGTTCCAGGAGCCTCAGCACACCTCCAGGGAGAGAGGAGGGAGAGTCAGGCTCGCAAACACGCGAAGAGGGCACTGGGGATCAGAAGAAATGAAGACGGGAAACCACAGAGCCTCCTGCACAGACATCACGTCTCCCACCTCTGCAGAGGTGAGCTGCTTGTTCACCGTGGGCTCTACTGTGTGCAAAGGACTGAGAATACAGCAGTGAACAAGACAGACCCACTTTCTGCCCTCAGGGAGCAGAACAGAAAGGTGGTCACTAATCACCAGTGAACACAAAATAGTAACAGGGATAAAGGTAGGAGGGCAAGGTGGCCAGCACAATGGAGGCCTCCAAAAGGAGAGACTGACCTGGTAAGAAAAGGTTTCCCTAAGAAAATGAACAGGGGAAGGAAGAGTGTTCTGGGCAGGGGGGAAGAGCATGTACAAAGGCTCTGGGGTAGGAAGGAGCCTGGTAAGTGTGAAGACGCTGGGAAGAGGACCCACATGCAGAAGAGAGATGGTGTGTATAGGTATGGAGGACAACCAACTCAGCAGGGGGCCAGACCTTGTCTTTGAAACTTCTAAAATTAAGGAGTTCTGCCTTTATCCTGAGCGCTACAGAGACAACCTCAGGGGTTCTCACAAAAATAGAGAAATCAGGCAGTACAGCTGCTGTCAGCAACCTTGGGAAAGACACCTACCAAGAGCGGGAATCTAACCCTCACTGCCCACCCACCAGAGGAAGGATATTCCAACCTAGAACCCAAAGTGGGAAAGGCCCTATTCCTCTTGAAGCAAGGCAGACTTAGGTGGGTTTGTCCATTTTTCTAGGGAACAGGGCCACAGTTGTCATCAAGTCCTCAAAGACCACCCCCAGAATACAGAAGCACCTAGGAGTGCTGTAGTGTTGTGTACAGACGCCCTGTACAGGCTGGTAGAGGCCCTGAGACCCAGCACTACAGCTGTCTAAGATCACATCTCCATAAGGTACCTCTCAGTCTCCCACCCAACACTCTGGGACTTGGCTCCTGGAGACACACATTCCCAGCTCCACTCCGGCTCACCCCCGACCTCGCTCTAGGGCTGCTCTGAGCCTTAGGAGGCTAGAGGACCACAGGCGGTCAGTGATGGCACCTTTCCGGGCTTCCAGTCCTCCACTGGAAAGAGTGAAGAGTGGGGTCGATGGCTCCCACATGACAGCACTTTCTGCCTGCCAGACACTCCTGGGAGCTCCACAACAACTATCCTCTTCAGCTCACAGCTACTATTTGGCAATGGTAATCGTTTTAATAAGAATGAGGAAACAAATTTTTAAGAGAGGTTAAGTAACTCAGCCATTTGGTGCTTCCCTCTTAGGCCAGCACTCATCTAAATCACTTAGAGCTAGAATTTGCCTAGGAGAGAGAAAGTGAGGAAACGAGGGGGAGGGGAAGAGAGAGAAGGAGGGGTGGGGGGTGTATTAGTATAGATGAGCTTGCCAGGGGAGTCTGAGGAGAGATGGGGTTAATTTGTACAAAGGAGTCATGATTGCTCTTAGTTTCTGAAGTCAATACTAAGATGTGTCCAGCTATAGTTCCATTTGCCCTGGAGAATTCCTTTAATTGCCCATGCACTACAGTATTTAGGACACACTAGGCTTGTCCAGACCAGCAACATCACTCTCAGCTCTTAGCTAAGTCCATTAAAGTCCGTTTTCTCAACCCATGAAATACTTGGCTGGTTCTGAAAACCCAACTTGACATGCTGGCATGTGTTTATGGGCCTCAGTCCCTCCCAGTGTGGAGGGATCCTCAGACATGTGACACATGCAGGTGCTGAGACACCCAGGAGAAGCAGATGATGTGGGCTGGACTGGAGGGCAGATATCACAATTGCATTTACATCCTCTCTCTCTCTCTCTCTCTGGCTGGGAACATAATTGAATACATTTAATACAAATCGACAAACGGCAAAAGTCCACTACACCAAATACACTGGCTATCAGAACAGATGGGTCTTCTCCCCTCTTCTCTGCTCCAACTTGCTGGAGCTCTTAACTAAACCCATCTTCCTAAAAGTAAACCCCCAGGCTACATCTTGCTCTCACTCTGTCACTCATTCCTCCTCCTGCATTTTAGAGAGAAGAGCATCCCAGATGACTCTGGAGGCCCTGCCCTATCCAGGCAGTGAAGAGAGGAGCATTGTGTTTTGAGGAGAATTAGACATTGGTGTTTCAATCCCGAAAGTTTCTGATCAAGACACTTGGAGGAGAATGGCCAAGTCGGACACTGTTTTTTGTTCAAAGCCTACCTTTGTGTCTGGTTCGCATTGGGTTGAGAAGACAGCCCAAAGCAGGTGGAAAACTGCAGCCAATGCCAAACACAGACCAGCACTTGGTTCTTCCTGACCAACAACCAGGGAAAGTGGGAAAGAGAGAGGTCACCTCGAATATCCCTCTCTCCTCAAGTTTAATCTCCCAAGACCCTGGTTCCTTGGATGCCAGCTGTATCCTCACAGACCTGGAGACTGTGGCAGCTGAGAGAGGCCTCCAGACTCTGTAGAGAAGGCTGCCATTCATGTCTTCAGGGCCCCAGAGGAGAAGGTCCAATGCCACGCTCCCCACAGCACTAATGGACTACAGATAGCCCCCAATTTACCATGGTTCAACTTACAACGTTTTGACCTTACAATGGTGCCAAAGCAAGAAGTGATCAATAGAAACCGTGCTTTGAATTTTGTTTTTTTCCCAGGCTAGTGGTATGTGGGATGGCACTCTTGTCATGCCAGGCAACAGCAACGAGGCTCTTTCTCTCTTTTGAAGACAGGGTCTCAGTCACTCAGGCTGAAGTACAGTGGCACAATCATGGCTCGCTGCAGCCTTGACCTCCTGGACTCAAGCAATCCTCCTGAAAAGCTGGGACTCCAAGCACAAGCCACCATGCCCAGCTAATTAAAAAAATAAAATTATTGCCGGGCGCGGTGGCTCAAGCCTGTAATCCCAGCACTTTGGGAGGCCGAGGCGGGTGGATCACGAGGTCAAGAGATCGAGACCATCCATGTCAACATGGTGAAACCCCATCTCTACTAAAAATACAAAAAAAATTAGCTGGGCATGGTGGCGTGTGCCTGTAATCCCAGCTTCTCAGGAGGCTGAGGCAAGAGAATTGCCTGAACCCAGGAGGTGGAGGTTGCAGTGAGCCGAGATCGAGCCATTGCACTCCAGCCTGGGTAACAAGAGCGAAACTCCGTCTCAATAATAAAATACAATAAAATTATTTGTAGAGACGAGAGCTCTCTATGTTACCCAAGCTGGTCTTGAACTCTTGGGCTCAAGTGATCCTGCTGCCTCTGCCTCTCAAAGTGAGTGTAAACAACCTGCTATATAGTTTCAATATTTGACCCCCTCCAAACCCCAGGTTGAGTTTGATCCCCAGTATTGGGGGTGGGGCCTAGTGAGAGGGGTTTAAGTCATGGAGAGGGATCTCTCATTAATGAATTATGGTCATCTAGCAGCAATGAGTGAGTTCTCCCATTAGTAGTTCTTGCAAGAGCTCCCCTAAGAGCTAGTTGTCAAAAAGAACTGCCTGGTGCAGTGGCTCACTACTGTAATCCCAGCACTTTGGGAGGTGGAGGTAGAAGAATGGCTTAAGCCCAGGAGTTTGAGACCAGCCTGGGGAACATGATGAAACCTCACCTCTACAAAAAATTTAAAACTAAAAAATTAGCTGGGCATGGTGGTGAGCACCTGTAGTCCCTTGGGAGGCTAAGATGGGAGGATCGCTTGAGCCCGGGAGGTCGAGGCTGCAGTGAGCTGTGATCACGTCACTGCACTCCAGCCTGGATGACAGAGTAAGACCCTGTCTCAAAACAACAACAACAAAACAGGAAAGAGCCTGGCACCTCCTCCGCCTTGCCTCTGCTCTTGCTGTGTGACCCCCACACACGGGTTCCCCTTCTCCTTCCACCATGAGCGGATGCAGCCTTAGGCCGTCATCAGAAGCAGATGCTAGCGCCATGCTTTTGGTACAGCCTGCTGAACTGTGAGTCAAATGAACCTCTTTTCTTTCAGGTATTCCTTTACAGCAACGCAAATGTTCTAGGACACATTCCACCCTCTCCAGCGTGCTGTGCTGCTGGATGATTCTGCCCAACTGCAGACTCTTGTAAGGGTTCTGAGCACATTTCAGGTAGGCTGGGCTAAGCAAGGATGGCTGCTAGGCTAGATATATTACATGTAGTTTCAACTTAGGATATTTTCACCTTCGGATGGGCTTATTGGAACATAACCCAATCATAAGTCAAGGAGCATCTCTGCTTGGTAGCAAAATCATTCCAGGCGAGCAATGTGTCTCCCTGGCACCATAACCTCACCCCTGATGTCTACTGCATTCCTATTTTGTGGGTCACCCTGCATGTCCTTAACTTCGACACTTTGGGGACTCCTGCCGCTTGCATGTCTAGCAAGAAACCTCTACAGACTGGGAATACATGACAGCCACAAACTTGGCTGGCTGCTGTTCCTGGGCTCACTCACAAATACAAACTTTGCAAGGTAGGATTGTAACACTGAGATTTCCTTCACAGTGTTTTTTCATGGAGAATATGCCACAGGTTTTTTAAGGCCTGAATGAAATCTTAGAGGATCATTCCAATCCTCTGTCACTCACCAGCTTGGCAATCTTCACTTCTGTGCCTCAGTTTCCTCATCTGTGATGCACAGATAATGGTATCTGTACCTCCCACAGCTGTGGTTAAGATGGAGAAGGCGATTCTAAACTCAGCTAACAGCACTGCAGCAGGGTACACGGCCAAAACCCTGACGGTTTTATGTCTTTATTACTCCCCATTCTTTAAAGCCCCCTCTGTATGGGTATCGCCACCTGGCGATAAAGAGGGAAGTACAGCATCTTCTAATGGGCTGTGCCTGTGAGGGATGGCAGGGGCACAGGGCGGACTCTTTCTAATGTAATGCTTTGCATAAGAGATTGCATCCTCCTCCCATTTGTCTTTAGAAAGATCTCTTCCAAATCAAGGCAAAATGTGCCCCCAGTCCTGGGGGA